CATATCCCCATGGGGAAAGCAGGTACTTTGCATATCCCCATGGGGAAAGCAGGTACTTTACATATCCCCATGGGGAAAGCAGGTACTTTCACAAACCCCTTTTAGTTCTCTTGGGGGGCAAATGTCTATACAGGTGAAAGGAAGGTTTTTGTGGTTTAGGGTTACTAATTAGCGAACACAGAATGTTCTGGACACAGACAGAGAGCCGTAACCCACTGGGCTGATGAGCAGGTGTTGATTTGCTGATATCACAGTTGGTAAACTGTATGAACCAGCAATTCCACCAAATACTAACAAAGTGAAAACTTTCAACGGACCAAAAATCTGCTATTGTAAATAATCTGATATGACCACTTATAAAAATTAAAGTAGATACCCTAACTGACTTCACACAGAAAATGTTGGCTAACATGGAGAGTTGTGAAACATTGAGTTTGAAAGTATGTAACCCAGATGTATGTAAACCTTTGGCCTCAACAGTTTATAGAACCTGCCGGGTCAAAGCAAAGTTACCCACAACCAACCTACAACCCTTTGCTATTTCAAATATATACAGAAAAATATGTGGTGACGTGTTTTGAAAATACGTTCGAAAAGTGTACTCAAACTTTTACTGGTGCTGTAGTTGTTACTATATTACTATTAAGGTCCCCTTAACTGCATTCATTCTCTCTACCTAATTCTTACCTGTTCCACTCTGCTGCTGATGATCACCAAGTCTGCTCCTTTCTCTGTGCATTTCTTCCGGCTGTCATTCCAGGTCTGCGTCTCGTTGGAAATGTAGTAACAGCTTAAGTTGAAACTCATCCAGTTCTGAGGACAGATGCGAACTGCGGGTCCAGAGACATGGTATGGCGTTGAAGATGGCTGCCCCTGGCACTATGGCTGCTGCTGGCACTATGGCAGCACTCCAGATTCAGGCGCCACTGTACAGCATACGCACACGCAAGCATTGATCTAGCAAGGACGTTAAATGGGATCATGCGACGCGAGGATGGGAGGAAGGAACAGCGACGTTATTGTGTCGCAGAAAGATGGGACTGAAAGACGACAGGCTTATAGAGCTGGCAACATGACACAATGCAGTGACACAATGCAGTGAACTCACCTGCCAGCTTCTCTTCACTCTCCTGCAGTTGTTTGACCTGTGCCTTAATGACCTCAAACGCTTCTTTATCTGTAGAATTAGATGGTTGTAGATTACTTATACAATAGCAGTAATATCACAGTAAAGTATTAACAAACTCACAGCACACAGACAGTGACCTAACTCACCCAGCTGATGCACAGTAGCAGTAATATCACAGTATTAACAGACTCACAGTAGACATACAGTGACCTAACTCACCCAGCTGATGGACACTAGCAGTAATATCACAGTATTAACAGACTCACGGTAAACAGCCAGCACTATGAGGGCCGTCAGCAGCAGGAAACACAGCAGCCCCAGACACGCTACAGCCGGTCTGTGGTCTCGTCTCTCTGCCGACTCAGACCCTGAGAAACACAAACAGCATCACAAAGTACAAGGAGATTTAGACTCATTTGCACTGTAAAAAATATTAAAAAGTGGGTTTCTTTTTTTTTTAGTTTTTCCACATTCAATTTTACAGCTTTCCCTGAAGGTTGCCGAGGGTTGTGTTGGTGTTGCCCATGTTCCGAAAAGGAGGTGTTTCATCTTGCAGGACAACATGGATATTATTGAGAGTAATCTCAGCACAATGCTTGATGGCAATTCCGGTCTGTATCAGAAACAGAAAGACGGTTGTGAAGGCTCTGAGGGTAGGTGAAGCATTTGTAAGAGGGATCTTTGAGAAAGTGACACACTGTCTATGGTCTAGCGACCCATGTCCTGCTTACAGAGGAATCGAAGCATGACGCACATCCTCATCTGTTCCTTGGAGAGTGGAGAGTAGCAGTCAGGATGGGTGATGGAATTGTCCTAACGGATTACACTGCAGTTTTGATCCACTGGGTTGGCTACCTTGAGCAGCTGTTTAACAGCTGTTGGACATCTATGGGTCCACAGTTTCTGAGGTTGATCCTCAGATTAGCTATGAACCACCCAGTCTCACTGAGATGGCACAGGTGGTGAACCAGTTGAGGGTAGGGAAGGCTGCAGGGATCTGTGGTATCTGGTGTGAACTTCTTCAGGCTGGTGATAAGGGTGTCCTCCTGGCACTGCAAGCAATCTTTGCTTCCATTTAGGAGATGGGCCTCATCCTGACTGATTGGAAAATGGGACTTTTTGCCCATATCTGGAAAGGAAAGTGTGATCACCTGGATTGCGACCACTACAGGTGGACAACACTGCTCTCAGGGCCAGGTAAGGTCCTTGCTAGGGTCATCCTCAATAGGATCTATGATCGCTTGCTCGCCTACAACCAACTGGAGCAGTTCTCATCAAGTGCAAACATGAATACAGAGTTTCTTTGCAGCCTTTTGGGCAGGAGTCTGGGTGTTGGGCAGGGTTCTGGGGTCCAGTGGCTGTGGGGCATCTGTTGCAGAAGAAAGATTCACTGATCATCAGTTTCCCGATGATGCAGTGATCTTCACGGAGTCCATGGAGGCTCTGATTATGGTTCTGAAGAGACTGAGTGAGGAGTCTAAGTATTTGGGCTTTTGAGTGTCTTGGATAAAAACCAAGATCTTTTAAAAACCAAGACCTTTAATGACCTCTTGAGCACAGCCATCAACAGTATGTCTGTCTCCCGTGAGAATGTCAACTACACTGAGAGGTTCACTTACCTCAGCAGTGACAGTCATGTCTCTGGTGCCTCTTCCTATGAAGTCAGTAGAACGACTGGGAGCTGGAAAGGGGTGTGCGGCACTCCCAATATCTTTGTAAGAGGATGGAGTTTCAAGTCCTGAGAGTTCTGGTGCTCCCTGTTTTGCTGTATGATTGTGTGTAACGTGCAGTAAGTGTCTCTTGTGTGCATGTGTGTGTGTGGGGGGGTGTCACATGCCGTAAGTGCTTCCAGAGTTGCATCTGGTTCCTGCCTCCAATCTGCACTCGCTGGCTGTGTCTTCGGCTCCACACTCTGGATTCCGGATACGCCTCGTCCGTCTTCGGCGCTGGTCCTCACTTCCGGTTCCCGAAGATAAAAGGCCGCTGTTCCTCACCACTGCAGCTCTGCTCATTGGATTATTGTGGTTTGATTTCTTGGTTTATCATGTATTGTTTTGTTTGTTTTGGTTTTCTGATTTTCGCCTCGCCCTTCTCTGTACCTTTGCTTCGGTTTGATTGCTTTTCTGGTTTGATCTCCCGCCTGTTGACTGATTACTCTTTTGCTCGCCCCCTTGGACACTGTTGACTCGGAGTGTGTGTTTGCTGTGTGTGTAACTTGGTGCGTAAGGAGTGACTGCCTTTTTTTTGTTCTGCGAGACGTGTTGATTTATTGATTGTTTGGTTAGGGAGATGGTTCTAGTATTGTTGTTTCGTTTTCACTTGTTTTCGTTGCACTTAGGATTAGATTAGTTTTGGGACGTGTTCGTTAGTTGTTTTTTTGGTGTTTTGGCCTGGGTCACTCCCAAAGTCCTGTTGCACCTGCTGTCTTGTGAAATGTCTGTGAGGTGTGAATAAAATATATGTTACTTGTGTTCCCTATTTCCATTGCCTGTTTGTCTTGTCCTCCCCTTTCCTTTTCCTTTCTGTCGGGCTCCAACCCTAGACTGGAGCTCGTAACAGAAATTGGGGGCTCTTCCAGGATCTTTTTTTTGTGTGTCTGTCTGGCGGATTATTTTTTTGTGTTGGGGGTGTTGTGGTACTGTGTGGTCATGACCCAGTTAATGTAGAGGAGTGCTCATCGCCCCACTCCAATGAACTGCAATTAACTCAAAATCTATGGAGTTAATTTTGTGCCAAAAGTATTATAGTGATCCTCTGCTATATCGCGGTTCAGCTATCGCGCCCCCGCTATATCGTGGATTTTTCCCCCACACATCACAGATCTCTGCGTATCACGTACCTTGTACAGTATGTAGTCTGATTGTTGTGAGCAAATTTTTTGTGAATTTTCCGTTTTGTTTTAAGTCCCACGATGGCTCCCTAGCATACTCATACTGAACTTGTTTTAACCTGACAGTAATCATCTGTTTTTAACAGATATTCCCCCTCCACCCCCCGCTGTCAGAAATAAATCCATTTTATATTAGATCCGACATGTTATACAGCAACCCAACAAATCTCAACAAATCACAGGGCATAAGGCAGGGCTACACCTTGGATGGGATGCCAGTACATCACAGGGCATAAGGCAGGGCTACACCTTGGATGGGATGCCAGTCCATCACAGGGCATAAGGCGGGGCTACACCTTGGATGGGATGCCAGTCCATCACAGGGCATAAGGCGGGGCTACACCTTGGATGGGATGCCAGTCCATCACAGGGCATCAGGCAGGGCTACACCTTGGATGG